AGATCCATAAATTGCGCGTAGAGTTAACACAATTAATCAACAAAATATATCTAGCTATTTATGAAAGTTTGACAAATGTTGACGACCGAATGGTCACATGTGAAAATAAAATCAAAAAATATGATGCACAAGACGAAAATATTGTGAAGAAAATAACTGTTTTGGAAAAGACAATGAGACAGCACATGAAAAACTTGATGGCAGTTGAGAGGAAGGTTAATAATATGATAGCTAGCAAAATAAGAATCTGACAGAAGTAACCTTGAATAAATGACCATTCGTTATTCTCTCAAGTGTATTCGCCCTTGATCCACACTCTCCCACTCGAACTTCATAGTATTTATACCCACATATCTAAGTTTGAACTCATTAGTTTGCCTGCACGATCAACAGTGTAAGTTTAGAACCAGAAAAATGAATACTTCTGGTGTCAAGCAACAAAGCAGTCTTACACCAAGTTCGCTGAATCCTGAAGCACCCATCGAAATATTGGACACACCGAATTCGTCTGATCGTTCCAGTCAACCAATACCCAAATCAGATATCCCTATCGACTTATCAGATATGCCAACCTACAAAATATGTCAAGAGCAAAGCGTAAATTATTCATCCTCGATATTTAGCCAGGAAGGACAGCGTTGGGATTTGGATGAAGAATGGCAAATTCCACGAAGACCTTCATCAGTATTTTTACAAGATTCTCCACCATCTTTTTTCAATGCTTCATTTGAGCACGAAGAACAGTGTAAGGATTTAGGTGAAGAATGGCAAACCCATTCAAGACCATCATCACCATCTTTACTGGATCCTCCAACGTCATTTAGTCAAGAAGGACAACGTTGGGATAGTCAAGAAGGACAACGTTGGGATAGTCAAGATGGACAACGTTGGGATTTAAGTTCTGAAGATTGGGAAATCCCAATCATCTATTAGATGCTTCATCATATTTTTGAACTGTTCCATTCAACATGTTTTCCAGTAAAGAAGTTTTTTAGACTTTAAATTTTGTATTAATCAAGTTTTGTAATAATTGAATATGAAATAAAACAAAAATCCCAAAAAACTTGTTTATTTATAATCCTTATATTTTATGAATACTTAAAAACTAATAAATATTTAAACAATATCAGATTTATCTATCCATGAGTTGAACTGATTCGGAAAGCCTAACCATTTAACATATAACTGTTTTTTATTGTCTTTTTTACGTTCGCGAAGAACTTTCTCAACTAAATAAACATTTGGGCTTCTCGTCTTCTGCAGCTCAGCTTCATAGAAACAGCCTTTAATTGGTTGACCATCCACAGATTTCAACTGATATGTAGGTGGATTGGTAATGTTAACTTTCACTATCTTAAACAGTTCTGTTGACCAAGATGGTGTATATCCTTTATCAAATATACTCTTATATTTGCTTATTCGGACAATATCCCCCAAACAAAATTTATATTTTTCAGGTATCACCTTGATATGATTGTACATCTTCAAGTCAGTATTTTTTTTAACATTGATGGGTTTCATGCCGATGGTTCGATGTTTGGTATTATTATAAGTTTTCATTATTGCTGGTAAAAGATGTAACCATTTATTGGATCCTCTAGCAGAGAACTGCTTATATAGATTATTTTTTATGGTTCTTATAACCCGTTCTACAATTGCTGCCTTCATCGTACTATAAGTTGAATAATGATTAATATTGTGTTCCTTCATAAGAGCGTCAAAATTCTTATTATAAAACTCCTTTCCATGGTCACTTTGTATATTTGCAGGTGTGTATGCAGCTTCTTCTATTATACTTTTCATTGCCCTAGCAACTTCAAGACCTGTTTTGTTCTTGATAGCTCTAACGTATAGATATTTGGAGTAACAATTGATGCATACCAGAATGTATCGATTCCCATCATTTTCAGCAGCAAATTGCTGCATTTCTGCTAGATCTATTTGCCACAAGTCTGGATACCCCTTAATAATCGTTCGTCTTCGAGTAAAATTTTTCCTCGCTGTTCTATGAAGTTCTTCGACAATGATTTTTAGTCGAAATTTTGTCTAAAACTTCTAACCCAATTTGCTCAAAAAGTATAAACGTGGGAATACTAAAAACTACAGGGTTTTGGAGCTTATTAAGAGCCACAAACGCTAAAAATTTCAATGCAATTTGCTGAACGGTTAACGAGCAATTGAGGTTTAAATATTTTGAAATCAGAATTCAATCGATAGAGTGGTTCAAAATTAGTGAAAAATAACTCTGACATCATTTCCATTTGCAATAATAAAGATTCAAAAGAAATACAATCACTCCAATATATATATCTAAACAAATCAGGGTCAAGCGCCAACTCAAGGCTGCGCACACTCAAGGTCACATAGCAACTCAAGGCCAAGGTCGTGTGTCGTCAGAACATTACTAGGTCATTTTTCAAGACAAGGCCAAGGTCAGGAACGTGACGTCATAGGAGTGGGGGGTGATGAGTAACCACCATATCGACCCTACTGCACTGCACTGATACTGTCCGTACTCCACCGACAAGTGCCATAAATTATCTGGAAGACAATAGGCAATTTTCTGCGAGGATAACCAAGCATAATTTTTTGCTGGATTATATGATGTGTCATTTATGTCATACTCCCCTAACTCCCCCACCATCAAATTCTGGGATACTCGAGGATCAAGGATACCTAATTTCTTCTGAGAAAACAGACCGGAAATCACCTTTTCTACATTTAAAATCGACGAAAAAATTAACACTAGCACAGCCTGAATTGCAAGCATTCCATCGAGGTTTGCGAGTGACGTCATCACTACAAGCGGCTGATAGTAATGACGTCACTCGCAGGCCCAGAATTTGATGTAGAGGAAGTTAGAGGAGTATGATACAATTGACACATCACATAACCCAGCATAATCAGATTATGCTCGATTATCCTCGCGAAAAATTGCCTAATAGCTAAAAAAGCCGCCTAAAGTCGACGCGTCCGCGGCTGCCGCATTATTGCGTCGAGTGCATCAGGGCTGGGATCACGACAATCTACTAGAATTTCTCTTTTATGACGTCAGGTTGCCTAACAATTGTCATCATCGCCTGTACTGTACGCGATAAATGTGTCGCGAATGACGTCATGAAAGTGGAATTCTACTTGTCATGATTCCAGCCCTATATTCCCTACAGGGCCTTTGTTGTCGAAACAGGAGATAAGCGTTCTGTTTTAGTTGCCCATATTTCTATTTCCATAACACTGACAAAGACAGAGCAATCGTCCTTTCTCGTGAGCACGCTGTTCCCCGGTTTCAAGAATAGGCATCCTGGTATACAACGTTGCCGTCTCTTTCAAAATTTAATTTTCGTTTTTTTTTTTTGAATCTACGAGTTTATTTTTTTTTTATTTGTTTTTATCGGTCCCCTCAGAATCCTGGTTGTGTGGGGGCCCCTCAGCTCTGGGGGCCCGACGCACAGTGCGTCGTTTGCTTCATGCTAGATCCGCCACTGCTTTCAAGTGCGTAAATGTAACTTTCAAGTGCGTAAAAGTGTCATTCATTGTTCAGAAATAAAAAAACACACTAAACACAGATTTGAATTTTGTTTTGTATTTATTATGAATATTAGTCACCACCATGAAAGGTGTCAAGCAAAAACAGGTGCCAAACATTGAAATAAAATTGTTTTTTTATTATGAAACACCAGTAGAAAAAATCTTGTATACAATACGTTACGAAACGAAGTCTTTTAGTTACTCGACGTGTTGTCCAACTCGGCTTTGCCTCCTTGGACAATTTTCACGTCGCGTGCCTAAAAGACGCTTATTTCGCAACTTATTGTACAAATAGCTATTTCCGCACTGATATGCGTGCGGAAAATGAGTTTTCCCGCACGGTGCGGAAAAACTTTTACCGCACGCTTAAGCCGGAGTCTCATGCATCCGATGCATGAGACTCCGGCTTCTCGGTACATTATGATGGTGTATTCGGTGTTACACCGCCGATTACGCTTTCATTACGTGATATAACACTGCACTACACGAACACCGTACTAGCACTGCATTAAAATCCCATTCCGAACTCAGCTCATATGATCTTGATTCCAAAAATTGAGGCCGATTAGCAATCCTGTAGTAATGTGTAATATCCTTGGTTTAGCCTAGCCGAGTTCAGTAAATGCGCGCTTTCCAATGCTCTGTTTTCTAGAGTGTTAAATTTATTGCGATACGACCAAACAGCAAGCAGCCTAATTCATGAAATCTTGAAACCGAAAAATGCCGGTAAGAATCGATTAATTTATATCGGTTCCGGTTTTGCATTTGCCTGCCTTACATCATTTCTATGAAATATGGGTTTCGTTCCGGTTCCGGTCCTCAGAAAATATACGGTTCCGTTCCGGTTTTCGATTTATATCGTTCCGGTCCGGGTCCCTGATTATTCTTGCAACTAATCTGACATAACCTTTGTTAAAATTGTCGCCTATAGTATGAAACGGCCTTAAGTGGTTCGGAACTCGATGTTCGGAACTGCCCTAAATAGTTCGGAGTATTGTGATTAGCTGAATTCTCGTTTCTTGTTCCAAAGTCTTTAGCGGTGAAATAAAATCCTGCTGGGGGAGCACGAAACTCGATCCACTGACTCGATCACAAAACCATCGAATAATCCAAATCCAGTGCTATAATTTTAGCCGCTTTCCAGCTGTGTGCTTCATGCACGGTGCAGCACAGTGTTCCAGGAAAGCGCCTTTTGTGAGTGACATTTCGATCGATTTGCAAACCATCGAGTGATCGAGCCTATGTTCCGATGTCAACTGTCAGTACTGAATTTACTGGACGCCGTTCCGATATTACACTGGATTCAGTCGATTCAGTACTGAATGACCGCAAGAGTACGCTGTTGAAATCGGAACGGCAAATGACATTAAAATCAGCACAGTAAATCCAGTACTGGCAGTTGATATCGGAACATAGCCCGAGTTTCATGCTCCCGAACTGTTCCATACTTTGGCATGTGCCAATCCTGAATTGGTTCCACTGATTCGAAATGTGATCTGCGAACGAATCTGAAACATAACCTATAATATATTTGTTTTTGTTTGGGTTTGGCCTGATATATCATAATTTTTCGAAAAATTGTATTTATTTTTATCTTTCTAATTATAATCGGTTAAATGAAGTCCGTAATGCGAACAATCCGTACAGCTCTGATCCAGTCTCGTGTTGGGACAAACCGCACTGAAAATCTGGAAAATGCCTCGAAACTTATCAGCCAAGCGAAAAATTCTGGGGCAAAGTTGATTTCCTTGCCTGAGTGCTTCAATTCACCCTACGGAACCAAGTTTTTTAATGAGTATGCCGAATCCATACCGAATGGACCGACTTCAGAAATGTTATCGAAAGCAGCCCGAGAAAATCAAGTCTATTTGGTAGGAGGTACGTTTCCCGAAATAGAAAATGAAAAGTTTTATAATACTTGTACTGTCTGGAATCCAGAAGGAAAACTTGTAGCGAAATATCGTAAAATGCATTTGTTTGACATCGATATACCAGGTGGAATAACATTTAAAGAATCTGATGTATTATTTGCTGGAAATGAATTAGCTATATTTGACGTTGAAGGCGTTAAAGTTGGACTGGGAATATGCTATGATTTGAGATTCGAAGAACTAGCAAAACTGTACAGATTGAAAGGTGTAGAAATTCTGATTTACCCTGCTGCATTTAATACAACAACAGGCCCAATGCATTTTGAACTCCTGCAGAGGTCCAGAGCAGTCGATAATCAAGTATTTGTTTTTGCAATCAGTCCAGCAAGAGGCGATCAAGGTTATATTGCCTGGGGTCATTCACAAATCACAAGTCCTTGGGCCAAGGTAATTGCACAAGCCAAAGAAGGGGAAGAGATAATTTATGGAGATATTGATTTGAGTGAATGTGATAAAGTCAGGCAGCAGATACCCATATTTCATCAAAGGAGGAATGATATTTATAATACTGTTGAGATTGGGGCCTTTAGTTCAAAGTAATAGCAATAAATAATAAATATATTGATTTAACTGTTATGTATTTTCTAAGAATAAATTAAAATGATTTGTTATTTTGGATTCAGAAACTGTGTTTTATTGGTATCGGGTCTTTCAAAAAAAAACCAATCAAAGATTGCTATGGTTTTTTAAACGTATGTCTTAGCAATATTTTTCTTTAATTTTGTAAATGAACTTAAATGTCATGTCAAAAATCCTGACCAATAGACAATAATAGGCCTGTTCGCACAGCAATCACAAACCAGTCAGAGCGAATTTCATTGGTTGAAAACAATCAGAAACAGTCAGAAAACTAGTTTCAACCAATAAGATTCACTCTGACTGATTTGTGATTTCTCTGCGAACAGACCTATTGTGACGTACTTTTTCGTAATCAAAGCAATCTTTGATTGGTTTTTCTTTTTTTGATGACCCAATATATTATTTAACGAGCGTATAATGTAGGTAAAGCTATAATGCCTATAATTATTAAGGATAAAACATTAAAATAAGATAAAAACAGCTATCGGAATATTAAATATTTTCAAAAGAATAGACTTAAAAAAATGCGAATTTTCCAAAAATCATACAAAATATAGGATGTTCCATTTAAAAAGCAGTTAATCTATGGCATAACTCTTTGGTTCAAGTAATTTTTTGATAAATACCATTTTTGAATTCTCCAGAAAAAAATATATTCCGATTGGCTAATTTCGATTTTCTCAAAAATACAGGGAAAGTTAGGTATCAATAGCTTATTAATTGGAGAGCTCTGCTTTCTCTAATTTCAATGATATAGTTTGATAGGTTTATCGTTTATCCCTATCAGTTTTCGAGAAAAAAAAAATCTGTTTTTGTCATAAGAAACAATGTGTTAGAAAGAGATCTTTCTCATTTTCCTCACAGCAATCTAAAGCCCTTTTCCAACACATTGTTTCTTATGACAAAACCGGAATAATTTTTTTTTCTCGGAAACCATTGGAGATGCACCTATCGAACTTTATATAATTGAACAAAAGCAGAGCTTTCCCATGACCTATTAATATAAAGGATGTCCTATTGAAAAAAATGGGATTTTGGTCAATATTTCGAAATCGGAGCTCAAAAAAAACTGAAACCGTCACTGAATTCTGCTTAAAAAAGAGCTTCTAGGAAGTCTTTATGGAAATCAATAAGGTCACTAACCGTGCGTTCGTTATTTTGGTCTGAGTTCTCCGAGCTTGACTTTACCGTTCGTTTATTTGAAAAGTGTACACGGTGCAGCCTCATTCGCGTTCGTTTATTAAAATTTCTGACACTTTTATATAGCGTTCAACTGCTCTGTTCGCTCGCTGGTCACGTGATTAAGGCTCCGCTCAGCACGCTCTGCTCTTTGAGCAAAATACCGAACGCAAGGTAAATTCCTCGGCAATCTTGCCTAAGTAGGTAGCGACAAGTCGATATCGCAATTTTTAAAAACGAGTCATTATTGACAAATTTCATTATATCATAAAGCGTTGGTATAATTTTTCGAATTTATCCAATATTTTCATAATTTAACCATGACTCGTTCTAAATTGGCTCATTTATTTCTAGAAATTAATTAAGATTTTCCATGCTCCATGCCTGTTGAAAAAACAGCCCCATCTGGTAGGTATAATTTTTCAGAAATTGCGTCGTTTTTTTTTTAGAAACTGAGATTGTCTATGTTCTATACCTACCGTTTGAAAGAAAAGCTCCACAAACCCTGGTATAATTTTTCCAATATCCAATTAATTCATCCATTGACTCGTTTTATTTCAGAAATTGCCTCGTTTTTGGGTCAGTTAAGTTAGCCCCCCCCCCCCCAAAGAAAATTTCTGGATGAAAATTATCCCATAATTGTACTCTCCTTTTGCTCCATTTTGCTCCACTAATTTCGATTTTTGCTCCATTACAGTGGAGAGACTATGTGGCCTATTAGGTGGGGGGGGCTGAATTAACGCTAGCCCCCCCCCCCCCCCCAGTGAAAATTCAGAAATTTGATCATGCTCATTTTGTTCTCCGAGTTTTGCTCCACTATCGGCGAGTTTTGCTCCATTACCAGGAGAGACCTTACAGAGCTTCCAAGAATCTCTCCCAGCCCCCCCCCCCCCCGGTGAAAATTTTGAAATTTGATCATGCTCATTTTGTTCTCCGAGTTTTGCTTCATTTTGCTCCACTATCGGCGAGTTTTGCTCCATTACCAGGAGAGACCTACAGAGCTCCCAAGAATCTCTCCCAGCCCCCCCCCCGGTGAAAATTTTGAAATTTGATAATGCTCATTTTGTTCTCCGAGTTTTGCTCCACTATCGGCGAGTTTTGCTCCATTACCAGGAGAGACCTACAGAGCTTCCAAAAGTCTCTCCTAGCCCTCCCACGGTAAAAATTTTCAAATTTGAACATGCTCATTTTGTTCTCCGAGTTTTGCTCCGTTTTGCTCCATAATCGGCGAGTTTTGCTCCATTACCAGGAGAGACCTACAGAGCTCCCAAAAATCTCTCCTAGCCCCCCCCCCCGGTGAATTTTTTTAAATTTGAACATGTTCATTTTGTTCTCCGAGTTTTGCTCCGTTTTGCTCCATAATCGGCGAGTTTTGCTCCATTACCAGGAGAGACCTACATAGCTCCCAAAAATCTCTCCTAGCCCCCCCCCGGTGAATTTTTTTAAATTTGAACATGTTCATTTTGTTCTCCGAGTTTTGCTCCGTTTTGCTCCATTATCGGCGAGTTTTTCTCTATTACCAGGAGAGACTTACCGAGCTCCCAAAAATCTCTCCTAGCCCCCCCCCCGGTAAAAATTTTCAAATTTGAACATGCTCATTTTGTTCTCCGAGTTTTGCTCCGTTTTGCTCCATAATCGGCGAGTTTTGCTCCATTACCAGGAGAGACCTACAGAGCTCTCAAAAATCTCTCCTAGCCCTTCCCCCTCCCACCGGTGAAATTTTTCAAATTTGAACATGCTCATTTTGTGCTCCGAGTTTTGCTCCGTTTTGCTCCATAATCGGCGAGTTTTGCTCCATTACCAGGAGAGACCTACAGAGCTCCCAAAAATTTCTCCTAGCCCCCCCCCCGGTATTTTTTTTAAATTTGAACATGCTCATTTTGTTCTCCGAGTTTTGCTCCGTTTTGCTCCATTATCGGCGAGTTTTGCTCTATTACCAGGAGAGACTTACAGAGCTCCCAAAAATCTCTTCTAGCCCCCGCCGGTGAAATTTTTCAAATTTGAACATGCTCATTTTGTTCTACGAGTTTTGCTCCGTTTTGCTCCATAATCGGCGAGTTTTGCTCCATTACCAGGAGAGACCTACAGAGCTCCCAAAAATCTCTCCTAGCCCCCCCCCCCCGCCCCGGTGAAATTTTTCAAATTTGAATATTTTCATTTTGTTCTCCGACTTTTGCTGCGTTTTGCTCCATTATCGGCGAGTTTTGCTCTATTACCAGGAGAGACTTACAGAGCTCCCAAAAATCTCTCCTAGCCCCCCCCCACCGATGAATTTTTTTAAATTTGAACATGCTCATTTTGTTCTCCGAATTTTGCTCCATTATCGGCGAATTTTGCTCCATTAATGGCGAGTTTTGCTCCATTACCAGGAGAGACCTACAGAGCTCCCAAGAATCTCTTCCAGCCCCCTCAGTGAAAATTCTGATATTTGATCATATTCATTTTGTTCTCCGAGTCTTGCTCTATTTTGCACCATGATCAGCTCGTTTTTCTCCATAACTCGCTCCATGACGAGCCGCTTCCGGGTGCCACGCTTTGAGCGCTCAACGCTCTCGAATTAGGCCGAAGTACTCCGGTTACAATAGGGTACTTGCATGGAAAATTAAATTGATTATTGTTTATTGCAAACTGTAGGTAATCGAAAAAAAATAGTTATTTTTTTTCAATTTCACCCAAATATGATTATTCCGGAAGTTATACAAATATTAAGTTTTTTATATATATAGATATACTGAGCATGTGCGACGTCACAACTCACAACGTATTATACCTAAGTTATGACGTCGGAAGGACATTTCAAAGCGTTGTATCTCCGTCAATTTTTGACTAACAAGAAAAAGAAAAAACACGTGTTGACTTATTTTTCATGGACTATCGAAATCAGCAATAAAAAAAATTGAAGCAAGGGGCCTATTTTACACATTCGGGCGAACAGAGTTTGGCGCTCTCAAGCTGCTCTCACTTTCCTCGCCTGTTTCCCTTGATGCACCTGTAACTGATTTTCAAACGTTCGCGTGCAAAACGCATTGAGTATAATGGGCGTGAAATGCTCCAGGTGCTTCGCATACTGCACATGAAAGCGACTCTAGAATGAACTACACAGCTACGAGGAATATCTCCTAGCAACATGAGTGAAAATTTTGGAGTTTTTATATGCGCATTTTGTTTTCCGAGCTTTGCTCCATGATCGGCGAGTTTTGCTCCATTACTTGGAATGACCTCTAGGGTCCTTATTCTTGAAACAGGGGAGCAGCGTTTCCATGAGAAAGAGTGTTCCGCCTTTGTTGAAGTCCACAGCACAGATCATGACGGATGACCTCTGAAGGGGAAGAGGAAGTCAATGCGACAGAACTCATAGCGACAGATTTTATGAGCCTAGCAAACCTACCAAAACGATCGAGATATACTTAATAGCTTAGTTGACTAGAAAAGGACAACAAATAATGCGTAGGAGTTGTGTGTGTTCGCGGTCGCACTCCTTTGGTCCTTCAATATTTTTGCGGCGGACTATACTCATAATAGTTGTATTCCTTTCAAGAGTTTGGAACACTCGAGCTACTCGCTCCGGTGTTAGTCAACATGATTTATAAAGGGAAAGATGCGGAGTGCAACAAACACTTTTCGAAAGGAATAAGCGCGTGAAGCCCCGGAGCTGTTCCGGAGCTCCTCCTAGGTGTGAAAGGAATACAACTAATGTAATATGGGAACGGCCGTCAGATAAACTCGTTCTGCTCCAAAGTGAACAAGGAACGGTTTGGAACAGAAAGAAAGAGCAAGAAAATTGGATAAAGGAAGGCCAACAACCCTCAACTAACAGGATGGCTTTTCCCCATAAAGCCTCACTTGCGCAAAATTCTCTCTTTTTTG